CAAGTGGAGAAGGGCAGCTGAGGGAGGAAGGTGTCCCAGCTGCCAGCACCTCAGGCTCCCCAGCTCTCGTGTGTCTCAGTGGCAGGCAGGGCTGTGGGAAGGCAGTTTCCACAGCCCATGGGACACCCTCAGATTTGGGAAGCACACACACAGTCTCTTGTTTGCCCAAAACCCTCAAGAGCAAATGCTCCCAATGCTCTCCTCCTGGACTTCTCCTCCCTAGCTCCTACAAACCCCAGTGCCTTTGCAAGGCAGCATTACATTGCTGTCCTACACCTACTGCCAGCTTTCCTCTGGGAAAATTACCTGATTTACTTTGTGTCAGAGATGGAGCAAGACCTAGGGCAGCTTTACGCAAACAGGCTTTGTAAGGCATCTCCTGCAAAGCAGGGTCAGGCTTGGGGCATTGCATGTGTTTTAAGCCTAAAACCCAGGAACATGCCAGGGCTGCCTCTGGCACTACTGAATGCAGCAGGGAGGGGGCTGTGAATGTCCTACCTGAGTTCCAGGCCCCAAAATCATGTGCCTGGAGCTGTACTGAACAAGAGGCAAAACCATACAGCTATACCTGTTCTGTCCCTGCTCACCTTCCTCGGATTGCCCCTCATCCACTGTACATAGGATCAGGGAGGGCTTGATGGGAAGGGATCTCTGCAGGTCTCCAGTCCAACCTCCTACCTGGTGCAGGGAAGGCACGAGGCATCAAAGTGCAGAGAAGTTATCTGAAGCACACGATTCTGTGGGTGAACAACGCAGGATGTGACCAGGGCTGTCCCAGCCTATTCATGTGGGCTCACCTGCAGGCAGGGAAGCTTTGAGGTGCTTGTCAAGCACTCAAAGCAGAGCACAGCAGGAACTTGGACAACTGAGTGTACAGGTGTTGAAGAGACAGCAGTAGAGGCAGAAGACAATAATCTCCCTGCTGCAAAACTGGCCCACTTGGACAAGTCAATTCACCTGGAGCTCGGCTGCCTTCTCTGCAGCCTGGGGGAAGGTTGCTGTGGACAGCCCTGGGTCCAGATTTCACCAACTGTGAAACTCAGCTGTGTGTATCGATCAAAGCAAAAGGCAGAAATGAGCATCTGTGGGTTTATACCAGTTTGCCTCTATCCATCTCTCCTGCAAACACAGGGCTGGGAATAAGCGATGTGTGAGGGGAGAGACACTGGCTGTGGTGCAATATGAGAAAAGTGCCTGAACCCAATCAGGGCAGCGTAGGGGCAAACCTTCACCCATTAAAAACTGGTAGAGCTGCCTTGTCTTTGATGATACTCATCATCTCCAGTGGATAGCTAGGAGAGTCAGAAGCCTCTTACTGGCTTTCAGCAGGGCACTGATTTTTGGCCATCCAATGCCAGAGTATCCCTAGAGGTAAATCTGACTGTCATGGCCTTAAGGACAGTCAGAGATGGCAGAAAGAAAACCTTCTTGTCCAGTTCAGAAGCCATGGAGATGCTCAAGCTGAAAAGGAAAAAAATTATCTCATTTCTAGTATTGAAACAGGTCCAGTGAGTAATTGAGCATTTGCTGTGCTCAAGACTCAGTGCTCAGCAGACAAATGGCATCACCTTCCATCCCAGCTCCCTGCCAAAGAGCTAGGGGCAGGATGAGCCGTGGGTGCCCTCCCTAAATGAGCACCCAAGGGAGGAGGCAGTGGCAGCATGGGCAGCTTCTGGTGACAGGAGTATGGTCCAGCCTGGGGGAGTCCAAGAGCAGCAGGAGATGGAGGCTGAAAAAGAGACAAGGCTGCAGCGTAGGTCCAAGGTCCATCTGGGAGACAGGACCAGAGATAAGGCTACCTGCAGCATAGGTCCAAGGTCCACCCATGCACAGAGAGGTTAGAGAGGGACAGAGATAGACATGGGTAAAGGTACAGCCTAAGAACGAGCCTAGCTACTTGGGGCTGAGCTTAAGTGGAGCCCACAGAGCTGTGAGCAGAGGGTGAGGTTGGCTGGGGCCCCTAAGATCTGCTGGTACTCACAGAGCCCTGGCAGATGGTCCACCAACATCCTCCGTGGAGGGAGATGTTCCCTACAAAGTGCCGTGTGTAATCATGGGGCTACATCAGGGTGACATGGAGCGAGGGCAGGGACATTGCATGGGGTCTTGGAGCTGGGATGGAGATAGGTGCCACAGAGGCTTGGTGGGGAGGGGGGTGGGAGTCAACACTGAGGAGCCCCAGGGCCAGGTGTAGTTATGGAGCCCGGAGCAGCAGTAGACATGCTCTGCAAGGTGGCACAAGGCAGCACTAAGCCTCTACTTGCTCCCTTTTCTGGAGGAGTTTATCTTCCAGCAAATGAAAGAAACCCCAGCCCAGGGAGCATGGTCAGAGTACAGAGGAGACACCTGATATGGGGCACAGCCATCCCTTCCCGCCCTGATGTCTCCTTGATCCTTCTTCTTCCCTATTTGTTTCAATGAGGCATTTCCAAGGTCTCAAAGCTCAGTCAAGAACTGATCATTAGAAACCAGACTCTCTGATTCATTCAGAGGTTTCTCTGCTGTTTTCCACTCCTTCACCAACATGACTGATGTTGGGCTGTCTTGGGCAGATGGATCTTCCCAGATACAAAGCAAATTTGCTCTCAATGCTTCACAAAACAGAGCATTTCTCTGGCGTTCCTGTTGGCAAACATGGAATGCAAAACCAAAAAAGAAGGGGAAGCAAAACCACCCACATGGTTTACAGCAACCATGCGTTGCAGTGGTGCCAAGACAGGAGCGGCTTCTACAGAGAAGATGCTTTGAATGTGATACCTTGAGGTGTCAGCAACGTTTCCCAGTCTCCAGCGAGCCCTGGGCAATATGAAGACTTGGCACTCACAACACAGCTCTGTGGGACAAACCATGGTGGTGGGCAGGGAGAAAGCAGCTTTCATTCAGCATTACTCAGCCCCATCTTGTGGCAAGGATCAGCAAAAACTCCAAGAGCAGCAGCGAGATTCACCACCGCCACGTCTGCCCGCTGTGTGGGCATCAGCGTGGTTTCCTGGACATATCATCTCCTGCCCTATGTGCCTGGTTAAGGCATCCCCCCTCCTCCATCATCCCCCATCCCAGCCACAGGCAGGAGCAGCAGGATTGGCCTGAGCTGCAGCCAGCCAGCTCCGGTGCACACACATGTCCTCAGCTGCTGTCACCTGAGCCCTGAGCCTGCTACAGGGTTTGTGCAAACAGGCTGGGCATGGCTTGACTGCAGAAGCACAGATTGGCGAGTTACCCCCCATCTCCTCTCTTTGCCACCGCATTGTGTTCTCCATTCCCAGTTCCTCTTTCATTTCTGGAGGCCATCAAGATAGGTCACCCGCTTCCCTGCTGGAGGAGGCTCAGGAAGCTCTGCCACAAGCAGAGAACAATGGTGAGAAACACCAGGCAGATGCCCTTCTCTCTGCAGGGAGTGACGGGGGTCCTCTCTCCATGGTGGCTGAGCAACCCCAGGCTGGGACCAGCTGGTGGCATCACAAAGAGTGACAAATGCATATGGGGGTTGGTGGACCTTCACCATCCTCTTCTTTGAGAAGAGCGAGGATCCAGACAGGGATGGGATCACTCAAAGGTGCCAGTATGGAAGGTGTCACGCTGTCCCCAGCTAGCAATGGCTAGCAAACACAACCCAATTCAAAGGCCAAAAGCATAGGGTAGGAAGTGTTTTAGATGGGGAACTGGAAACTGTCACAGACCACTGGCTCCCATACAGCTGGAGAAGGAGGTCTTGATTTCCACCTCTTCGGCTTTACAAATCCAGAATGGTTGGATAGCCAGACACAGGGGCCACAAGTCTAGAATGGGAAGTGGTGGTCTTGCCTAAGAGAGGGGACAGGAATTGGGGCTGCCTTCGATGTCCCCGGCCAGCAGTGAGGAGGCAGGGGCAGTACACGAGCTGCACCCTTCACATCTGATTACATGGCAGCTGACGGGAAGTGACATGATGGACACAACACGGCTGGTGTCCGGTCACATCCTATTGCAGCAGCAGAACCAGGAATAAGCAGTTTGCAGCGAGATGTGGCTTGGTCCCCCAAAGCTCAAGTGCCAGACAACCCACTCCTCTGGACTCGCACACCCAATTGCCAGGGGAGCGTGAGAGGCTTTGGCATGAGACCTCCTGTCCGTTTTGGCTGAGGGATCACCAGGGCCACCAGTGCAGTGGTGTCATTTTCCCACCACCAGTTCTCCACCCAGTGCCTCGGGACTCGCTGAGGGAACAGCATTTGCCCAGGAGGTGCCTTTCCCGGCGCGAGGAGCCAAAGTTTGCCGCCTGAGGGACCGGCCAAGATCCCCCTGCCCCTGGCGCTGCCTGTCCCCTGCCCGCTCTGCCAGCACCGGGGCTGCCCCGGGGCAAACGCGGCGCCAGGGAAGGAGCAGGGCTTCCTCCCTCGCCCCTGGGGCTCCCACCCGGGCACGCCTGTCTGCGAGGCCAGGACCTCCCGCCCGCCTGCTGCCCGCCC